CCGAGGAGCTCCGCAACATCAAGGGCTCCGACGCCAGCAACCTACACGATGAAGAAGTGGGCGCGGAAGAGGCCGAATTCTCGGACGATGAGAAGGAGGCGGCGCACAAGCGGGAGCTCAAGGCGCGGAGGCGTGGTGGTGGTGCTGCGGGCGGCAACAACGACCGGAATGGCCCACAAGGCAAGCGGGGACAGAACAACAACAGCAACAACAACAACCGCGGCGCCCATCCGCTGAGAAACGAGGTTAACGGTGGTGGCAGTGTGAGCGGCAGCGGCCTCAAGTACGACGAGGACGAAGACGATGGGCCGTACAAGCCTCTCACGCGGCCCGCGAACTTTGGCCAGAACAGCTTGCCGCCCATTCCGCCTCCGTCTGCCAACACAAACAACAATGCCAGCGCGGCGGCTCATGCTGGTGGAGGTTCGTCCAGGGGCAATCCGCGGTTCAACCGAGGCGGCTCTGGGCCCGGTGCAGGTTATGGGCGGGGAGGAAACCGGGGTGGCGGGGGCTTTGGCTTCCGTGGCCGCGGCGGCTACGATAACAACCGAGGTGGCCGTGGCGGCTGGAACGGCGGAAACCGCAACAACAACAACAACAACAGCAGCAGCAGCACCAATAACTCTATTCAGGGCAGCAACTACTCTCCCAATTCACGACAGACCTCATTCAACTACAACCCCTCCGCTGCGCCTCCGCCACCACCACCACAGTTGCAACAGAACCAGCAGCATCAGTCATCGACGGCACCGTGGCCGTTTGCCGGCGTGCCCTTCCCTCCGCCACCACCGCCTCCACAGTCGGGAAGCGTGCCACAACTACCACCATCCGCTGCCAACATGGCCGCAGCAGCGGCGCTACTCAACAATGTGCAAGTTCAGCAGCTGCTTCAGCAACACCAACAACAGCAGCAACAGCAGCAGCAGCAGCGGCAACAGCAATCCCAGGCGGCCGCGCCAGCTTGGCCCGGGATGCCTGCACCACTTCCGCAACAGCAGTCCGGGTACCAATTCCAATATCAACAGCCCACGTACCAGCCGCCACAGACGCAACAGCAGCAGCAGCAACAACAGCCAGCAGCGCCAGCCTTCGACGCGGCCACCAGTTTCCAGTACTTATTCCAAGGCGGTGCTCAGGGACAGACACCTCCGCCCCCTCCGGGCTGGGGCCAACAGTCTCCTCCATCATGAGAGGATGAGAGACAACTCCTCTCAGCCTGTGGGACGTATATTACGGATACGAATTTGGAGACGCCGTCTTGACGACATCTTCCCACTTGGACTTTTACTGTATTTAGATTCCATGGCGAGCGAAATAAAAGGCTTACAATTTTTTTAATTCAAAACAATGTTTCTGTTGTTTCATGACCTTGCAAAGCCAAGCCACCTCACGACTCTTTGTAATCTCCCGCCATAAAATGAAAAAAAATGCGGACAGAACAGCCCAGTCACCGAACCCATAAACTCCCGCAAAACCCTTGTCCCAAAAGTGGCCTGCAAGGCAGACTCTAAAGATACCCCATGCTTTTGTGGCATTGTTGGCTCAGGTGAGGCCCGCTGAACCGCCACGAAATTGGCGACTCATACGACTTATACGATCCAGAAACGAAAAGTCGGTAGGCCCATTTAGGTGGCCTTGAGACGACAGTTTCGATTTTCAAGCATGCAAATGCCACAGAAAGCAACTGGCTGTCCCGACCCCAAACTACAACCACCACACTGGCAAGGTTCTTCTTCAACGTCCTCGCCAACAGTCGCTGATCCGAGAACTCAACCTGCACCGGCCGCTGCGATGCTACCTCGTCCGGCGCTTTAGTACGAAGTGCTCCGTACGATCTATGTCTGTCCGCAGTATGTCGACGCACACATGTTCAACCACGCTGTTACCGCCACCGTTTAAGTCGACGGCAAGGTAAATGGAGAACAAAAATTTATTGGACTGGCACGATGCCGTTCGCAGTGTAAGCCGTTTGCGTCGTTTGCGCCAACTGAGCTGTAATAAGTCGACCGAGCCACCGAATAAGGCCTTGAACCCCTCTGCTCGTCCCATATTTTTGGTCCTGTCGACCCTGTTTTTCGACTTCGCCTTGGTGCTTAAGCCGGGGACCTTTCCTCAGGGCTGTCCCTTGTTCCACGCGTAGGAGCAAAAGCAAAAAAAAGAGGAGTCGCCAATTCGGTCCAGCGTTTCAAGGTGGAAAACAGGTTTTTTTATTGTTGGGGGGTCTGCAAACAAAAATTTTCGGTTCTCCAACCACGGGACGGAAACAGATGGCAGCAGGACAACTGGAGAATCTATCGCTGCAAGGAGGTCAAACAGGCGGTCGCAGAGCAAGACAATGGCATTCTTGGCGGGAGAGCGAGGTGACCAACGACGCACTACGCATTAAGGTTACAAAGATGTGGTCTTGAGAGAAACTCAAACCAGTAAACGAAAGATACGTCGATCATATGTCGTTCGTCTGTCTCCGGAAACAAACTCAAAGATTTTTTTCGTGTCGGAAAACACGTAGATACGAAGTGGAACATTTGCGTCCTCTCCGCTTCCGCTCTCCATTATCTTTGGTGAGATTGTATGTCCTCCGTACGGCGTAGACCGTTTTCAATATTGATCACCGTTTATAATTATATTTTGAATTGCATCTATCAAATAGCAACAAAAAGAAGCGGAAAGAGCACCCGGCGCTCTCCCCCGTTTTCATAAAAGATGAAATTGAGCATGTAGCGTGCCTTCCCGATGACGATTACAGCACCTTTCCGGAGATGGAAGGCGGTGATCTTTACCATGAAAGTGCATCTCCGTCGTCGACAAGGGAAAGAGCGACACAGCCGTTTAGCGGGTCGGTTCTTTGCCCTACTGTTGATCCTTTCCCTTTTCCGAACCGTCCTGTGTCTTTCCCCCTTTTCTCTCCCGTCTCCCTTCTCCCTCACAGAGTTCAGCGCCTGCAAATGTGATCACAACGAAACGATCGACATAACCCATCCTCGCCATTTCTTCCACAGGCCCCTGCACAAATGTACGGAGGAGTCGGGTGCAGCGCATGCGGCCGGAAATCTTCTACACCGTGTGTAATGCCGAGTCGTGCGAGTCCAGGAAATCATCCACGTCCACAGTAAAGCGCCTCGAGCGCCTTTTTACGTCTTGTCGTCATAAGCCAGCGGTAACAAGCGGCAAAAGCAGAAGACGAAAGACGAAAAACAGCGCAAAGAAAAGAGCCATACTCCGTAGGTGGTCCTGGAAGGTGATCTCGCTATGGCGTTTTATGCTGTCTTGTCCAATCCACCTTATCGGATCGATCTGGGCCGGCGCCGTCAGAACGTCGAGCTTCTTCTGACGACATTCAATCACGACGATACGTCGTACGACATACAAGACATGGCATCCAAAACATTGCTCCATCGCCATGCGACGTGGGCCACGACTGATCTCTTAATGACACCTCTTCAGATAGCCTCCGAGAAGGCTGTGGGATCTTCTTGTCCACAGTGTTGTTCACCTTTCCCACAAGCAGAGCTCGAAGAACGGGTCGCGATGCAACCAACATCTTTGCCCCTATCCCTTTTCCACCTCTCGCGTTTCTGCAAGACAAACAACGCTTTGCAGTTTGTGGAAAGGCCCGTGTTGTTGGAGTCAACCACCCCTGCCTTGTTTCATTTCGCAAAATGGGGCTTGCGCAAACCGTGCCTCCCATTCGACAGAACCGACTTTTTGGGCCACTCCAAGTCAGGGGAACGGGCCAATGGCGTTGGAATGGTTCCTGGGAACGGACGAGAGACTTCCTGTTGCTTGTGTGTACTCCACTCTGTCGCCGTCTCCGTCGTGAACCCATGCGTCACCCTCGTGCTCTCTCCACGAGGAAGAAGCAAATAATGAGTTCTCGGTAAAAATCGCAACGACCGAACGAAGAAGTCAAAGTCAAGCGATGGCTGTCTGGATTTTTGACTGGTCTAGGGCAACGAAAGGACGTCCAAAAACATAGGATACGAGAAACAAACAACAATGTCCCTCCTTACTGTCCGTGACATAATCCGCAACCTGGGCAGAGAAGCCCCTTGCACACAGCAGCTCACTCAGTGCCAAGCACCTGGCTGTGCTGCTTGTGCTGACTAGAAGTTGCATTCTCGGACCAGGGATGAGTACGAAAGAGACCTTTACCCCTGGTCAGCAGCATCCACCGCCTCCGCCGTCACTCTGCACTTCCAGGTTGCCAGTAATCCTCCTGCCCCGACTGATCGGCAGTCCCCTTCTCACTGAGAATCTCTTATCCAATGTGACCTCCATCCATTTCCAGTTTTCGAAACCTTTTCCTTCTTTCCTCATCCACGCTCATTTGTTGTGCAGGTCGTTTCCTGTTGCATCGCCAATTCTTTTGACACGGTGACCATAGCATTCGCGAGACGAGTTTTGTCTCTGTCACTCATTTACACGATCTTCGTTTTTTCTTCTTCATTTTTCAGTCGTTTTTCGACTATCGCCCACACGGAGCACCCACTCTCTTTTTATTCTCGCATTTCTGCGATATTGTTTACCACTTCGGTATCTTCTTTCAATTTCTCACGACTTTTAACGGACGAGAACAGATTCTCGGGATTGATCGCCAACAGAAAAGCCACCGCCAGGTACGGGACTTTGTTAGCTTGAAGCCGACGAACATTCCAGTCGACCGATGATCACCGGTTCTGGCGACACCTCATAGGCTCGACCGACATCCCCAGCCTCAACTCGCGCATTCCATTCCAGTGTGAGCCGGAGGGGTTACAGGGTCCTCCGATTTTTAAATATACGATACACCATCTACCGAGCGCCTCTTCGCATCGTATCTCGTTTTTCATTCGACTCGATCGACATCCCGACCTTCTTTCTTTCTCGTCAACTCAATTTTCTCGTCTTCCAAGTTTTTTGTTTTTCTTGGTGTTTCTTGGTTGTTCTTGGTTTCTTGGTGTTCTTGGGCGCCCGTGTTCTATCAGCATCGCATTCGACTTGTCCTCAAGAGATCCAGCACAATGATGGCTCAAGTGCGTCCCCGCGTGGTTCGCCCACACGGTGTTGGCCGTAGGGATCTGTGGGATTCCATCACCAGCGCTGTCGGCAACGCCTTTGACCCCCATGGCAAGGACGCGCAGTCAACATCAACATCAACCAAGGAGCAGCAGCACAAGACAAAGACCAAGACAGTCCTGACAACAGACGCCCCGAGCACGTATACTGGCCCGCTGACGACCAAAACGCAACCCACAAAACCGGCCGCAAAGACAACAGAGACCACGCCAACAAAAACCGCCACAACATCCGCCAAGGCCGCGACAACAAAAACTACCAGCAAAGCGGCTGCCAAGACCAGTGACACGACTTCGGAGAATGCCAAAGATCTGCCAAAATCCATAGCCGCGACGACCGCACCGAATTCGGAAACAAGACTGGCTGTTGACACGACAAAGCCAACAACCACCACCAGCGCATCACCAACACTCGCTGCTGCCTCCGCAACAAACACCGCAACCGCGTCTTCTGGCAGCAGCACCGGAGCCAAGGCAGGCATTGCCATTGGTGTCCTGGCAGGTGTCTTCTTTGTCTTCGCAATCATCTTCTTCCTGTTCCGCAGGCACCGGAAACAGGTGGAAGACCGGCGGGTAGCCGACGACGAGAAGAACGGGCCGTTCGCCGATAGCGCAGCGATTGGTGGTGCTCCGAGGTCCCGGTTAAGTCTCAAGCCGGTTGCTCAGTTCCTGGGCGGTGCCGGTGCCGGTGCCGGTGCTGGTGCTGCTGCTGGTGCGGCTGCAAACTCACAATATGACAATGGCTTCCCCAGCCGCCGCCAGAGCCGTGGTGCCAACATCGCCATGCGGGACCAGCCGCCAATGAGCGCCCGCAGCCAGCCGGGCAGTGCGTGGGAGCGCCCCATAACGGGCAACGACCGCAACAACCCCTTTGGCGACGGTGCCCAGCGCCTCACCTCGGCGTTTTCGACTGCCCAACACGGCTTCCCTGGCGCAAATCCGCAAGGGCCAGATGCCAACGGTGTCTCGCCCGTCTCTCCTGGCGGTGCAGGTACTGCTTTCGCTGGCGGCGCTGCTGCCGGTGCCGCAGCTGGCATGCTGACGCGCAAGGCGTCCACGCGCAAGGATGGACCCAATGCACTTGACCTGACGCTGCCTGCACCCAATAGCAACAACAGCAATCTAGGCCCCGTCCCCCCGAGCCCAGCAGCCACCGAATACAGCATGCACTCAATGGCAACCAGTACGGCCGCGGTTGTCTCCGCTGGTGGCGCTGCGATCGCAGCTGCTGGTGGCCCCCCTGTGTCTACGGTCCACCGTGTCCAGCTCGACTTCAAGCCCACGCTTGACGATGAACTGGATCTGCGTGCCGGTCAACTTGTTCGCCTTCTGCACGAGTACGACGATGGATGGGTAAGTCAATACTCTCAGCACTTCTACGAAGTGATAGTTTGTCGCTTGCACTCAGACGCTTTATATACTAACTATTTCTGCAGGCTCTCTGCATTCGCCTTGACCGTTCTAAGCAGGGTGTCGTCCCGCGTACCTGTCTGTCTACGCGTCCTGTGAAGCCCCGTCCTCTCCAGGGCGGTGGCCGGGCAGGCCCGCCTGTCAACCCTAGCGGTCGCCCCATCACACCCCAGGGAGGTCCTTTCGGTCCTGGACGCATGCCCGGCCCCATGGGCGGCCCAATGGGAGTCCCTGGCTCCATGGTTCCTGGTCAGGGTGGCCGGCCACAGTCGCCTGCCAACCGCCCAAACACGCCACAAGGCGGCCCGCCGTCGCAGAAGATGATGAACGGCCAGATGCGTCCGCAGTCGCCCTATGGCGGCCCTCCCGGCGGCCCCCGTTCTGCGTCCCCTGCCACCATTGGTGCTCGGTCCGTGAGCCCCTTGTCCGGCAGCATCGGCCGCCCTCAGTCACCTGCCGAGCTCTCTGGTGCTTCCAGCGGTACCAGTGGTAGCCAGCCACAGAGCCCTGCCAGCACGGGGCCCCACAATATTACGCCGCCAGGGCCGAGCCCGGTCAACAAGCCAGTGCGCCCGACCAACTCGATTGGTCGCAAGCCTGTCCCTGGCCAAGCCTTGTAAACGGCTGCGCGTCCCCTTGTGTTTTCTTTTCTTATGTAACCAGGGGCTCGGGCAGCTCTTACTTTCCATGTTTGGCGCCTTACAACATACGGGAGCGTTCTTATTTTCGGCGGCGTTTTCACTGGTGGGGTTTGGTGGTAATGGGATGAAGTTGATATAAAAGACAAAGCAACTGCCTCAGTAGAGAGCGGGCTTAGTTTTTTATATGCGCCTCCTTTTGCCCTTCGGTTCACTTCTTCCACGGTGGTCTTCGGTTGAACTACTTACTTTTTTTGGTTCATGTGGTGATGTTTTACTTTTTATTCTTGACGCGTGGATGCGGTCTCGAAGGACAAAGGATGTGTTCGTAACACCCATTCTTAACTTTTAACTTCTATTTGTACCATTCTTATTATGCTTGGTATCCCATTTTACTTATTTTGTATCACATTACTTTCTCATCAAACATTCACTTCTTTTTTACACTTGAAAGCCCATCAAGCTATGCATTACTTTGTTTCCTTAGTCTTGTTTTACAGCCTTGTATCTCATATGGGCCTTATACCACAGCTTTATATCTATTGCGTTGCTCATTCTTGCTCGTGCTTTGCAACTTATTTAGCTGTGTTTGTAGTTTTTGTACAATTTAGTAGTCTATGTTTAGGATTTTTCATTAGTCGCATCAATGCTTTGTCGTCTTTTCCATTGCAACATGTTTTGACTTTCGACTGCTTCGTCCAGCGCTGATCTTTTGTTCAATTTTTTTTTTTTTTTTTTTTTAAACGTCTTATTACAAAGTTTAAGCAGTGCGTGCATTTATGAGTTTTCTTCCTTAATTTTTCCCATCTTTTTTTTTTATATTTTTTGTAGAAGTTTGAATATTTACAATCTTTAATGCCCATTCTTCCTTGATATTTATAACTGATGCTTTTCTAAATATTTAAGATGTAATTTGAATTTAATTGTATGTCATCGATCTGTTTTATTTGAATTAAATTTTCACCGCAAAATATCTTCTTAATTCACCCTTTAAAAGCACGTCAAGTAAAAGGAGAGTAAGTTCGTAGAAAGAGTTCATGTTACCATTAAAAGTATTATGATATAATTGTCATGAAAAAAGAGTAAATATAATGAAAACTCAGAAGAGACGCCACTTCTTTCAGCTTTATGTTGCGCGTACCATGCACCCGCTTATCATGTATTTCGGAAAAACTGGCCCAAAAATAATAATTGAAAGTAACGTGAAGAAAATGGTAAGGAATGGGAGATCAACATTATTAATTCAAACTGGTGGCTCCGTCACGGTCCAGCGCCGCTTGGAGGTTGCCATCTCGTGTGGCAGCTCGTCACTGTTGAGTGAAACGACACGGGGATGAATCCACAGACTGGGACTGGAAGGACTGGCCGCCCTGGCGGTGGTCGAGGTGGTAGGAGGCGTGAATGTATCGGCCGAGACCAGCTCCGCTCCGTAGTCGGTTGACGGTGCGGACGTCGGGCCCCTAGTGTCGAGACGTGGTAGAGCGGAAGACATGCCCTTGTAACCGCCTTTAAGGCTATCGCCAGTGCGTTCGCTGTGGTCGTCATGGTCACCGTCGGCCGAGTGGGCGATAGACAGGGATGAAGGATATATGGGGTTAGAAATGCCGCGGATTGACGGTGCTTTCTTTTTCTTCTCCGGCTGTGGCGGGGATTTTGGGCTCTCTGGGCCGAAGCTGAGCAGAATCTCCATGTCGTCATCGTCCTTGGAGTCTCCCTCGTCGGTGAGCGAAAAGTCAAAGTTGTCCTCATCAGGGTCCTTGGTGGAGCTGGCGGGTGACCAAAGTCCAACTGAGTCGGGCCGTGAATGGCTCATACGACTAGTAGTCGTTATGGTAGGCGGCGAGAATGTCAGAACACCACTGCCAATCGTGATCCCACTGGAACCTCGGCCGTTGGTACTGCCCGATCGGGCTGCACTCCCGCCCGGATTTTTGATAAGAGGTGGCCGAGATGACGCGCCAGACGGCCGCCGCGTTACGAAGTCGGCGCCTCCATGAAAATGGCCTGCCGATGAGCTCCTGTGGCCAACGACCCCGCTTTCAAAGAGGTTGAAATTTCCCGGCGTGCCAGAAAGTGAGTTTGAATGACGACCCCGCGTACCGCCAATCACGGAAGCCATGCTGCCGCGTGGTGTTGTCGGTGTAGTGGGTACGGACCGAAGGTGGTCCGAGTTGGCTAGCAATTTCATCTCAAAGTACTTATTGAGTGGGACAATGCCATCCGGATGCCCGCTGTGGATGGCTCCCGACCACTTAGAGTTGTGCGTGTGCGAGTGTTCGCCGTCGGAAAAGGAGGTCAAAGAATTCATGCCAGGTCGCCGGACCGCGACAGACAGCGAGGCCAAACCAACGTCCATGAGGACTGGTTGCTGTGTGATTGCGCCAATGAGCGCATTGCAGCCTGCGCCATGTGACACAAGAACCACAACAGTTTCTTCAATGCAGTCGTCGTCCACAGTATCGCTGTCACTGTCATTGTCATCAATGGCACAATCCGCGTCTTCACTGCAGCTCCCGCTGGACTCGAGGATGGAAGAGCCAGCTCTAAATTGAACCGCGTTTGTGACCATCTTGGCTGGCGCATCGGTGATCGAGTACCAGTCAACCAGTTTCTGTAGGCCCTTCCGGAAGCGACGGTGCATGGCTGCCCACTCTTCACCAAACTCGCCACCATCTCCCCAGTCATAAGGCGCCCGCATCGAGTCCCACTGGTAGTCGAAGTCCACGCAAGCGTCCCGCGCATGTGCAACATAGCCCGATGGTGTAGGCGCACGCGACGACATGGCAAACTGAGGCACGGGCGCCACATATCCGACAAGATTGGGGCGATGCATACCGGCATGGCCAGACGCGTCCCAGCGCGGGCTCTGGATGTCGCCGTTGCTGCTCATAGGACGACCGTCTGCACTGGTATTGGTAAAGAGTCCGATTGGTGGCTCGACTGGCGGGATGTGCTGCGAACCGGATCTCGGAAGCTCTTCCCCCTCTGATGGACGTGAAGTCCATGAGTTGGATCGGTTTGCACCCCAGAGATAGCTGGCCGAGTGGGAGTGGGCATGTACTGCTTGGTGATTCGTCGTATTGGAAAAGGTCGAGTAGTCCTCCCTCCGCAAGAGTTCAGCCTTCGCACTGGCAACCATCAAGACTGAACTGGGTGGGGGCGTGATAAGCTCGAAGTAGCCTGGCGACAGCCATTCACCCAGGAAGGCATCGAGTCGCATGACGGATTTATTGAGCCTTGGCGTGATAGTTTTTGGTGTCGAGTCAAAACTCGGGTTGCTGGTGGGTGCTGAAGACTGGCCATTCTGTATGGGCGTTCGTATGCGCAGGGGGGGCAAAGGTTCAAAGCTTCGGGGATGTTCGAGGGGAAGCGAATCCGAGGCGATTCCAGAGCTGATGGCGATAGACGTCTGTATGCATCGGAGGAATGGCGAGCTGTGGATAACAATCTTGTACCGCCGCTTCTTGGGCGCCGGCTTTCCGTCTGCAGGTGGCGCGGACTCGGGAGGTGTACTCTCGCGCAGGATGTCGGCAATGCGCTGGCCAATGGCACGGGACTGCGACCAGCCGCCGTATGTCAGTGGGGGGTCGTACGGCGTAGGCGATGAAAGGTGCCACAACTTGTCAGCAGCATCGAGGCGGTTTCCATGTCTGCGAGGGACGTGTTGGTGAGCGGCCGCATAAGCAGGAGGTGCCAAGCACAGCACTATGGCCGTCAAAGCATACGAACCTGACTATAAATATATAAGCTGGGGGACGCCCCATGACGAGACTGCTGGCGGAGGAGCAGCCAGAAGAAAGGTGGTCAATCGGGGGTCGTTCGGGTGGTTCGGGTGCAGTGGATCTGGTGGGATGAACGTAGAAAGTCTATATCGTACTTTAGAGGTTGTATTAGCTTCGAGCTATCGAAAGGCAGATGGACAGTATTTTGAAGGTGAAATAGGGGTCGTATAAGACAGCGAGTGCGGGATTGGAGCGTGACAAGACGATTCGCAGGCAGGAGGCAAGTTAACTACACCGGCCTGCTGATGGAATGCCAGCTCTGAGAATGGCGTGGTAGTTGGGCGAGCTGTGAATAGATGAGGGGCAAAATGGTATTGGGATAGCAACAACGGTCCCGGAAAAACCGAGAGGACAGCATGACTTGCTCTCGCGATCACAACAGTTCATCCATACCTTCTTAGTAAGACATCAGGTTCGGGTGCTGTCGCACCAGACAATGCGCTGTTGCAGATATGGTGCTGGACAGGGGTCGAAGCTTTGTCGCCAACGTGATATGCGAGGCAGAAGAAAAAGCCGCTCGAGGTGGTGGAAGCAAGCAGTCGACGTTAAGGAATAAAGAGAAGAGTGAGAAATCGAATTTTGGAGAAATATCACAAAAAGTTCCAGAAGGAACTGACTCGCGCTTACCTTCTTTGCTTTCAGTGGACAAAAAAAGAGCGATCGGCGCACCCGAAGTGGGTGAAACAGGTGGAAGCGGTGGCTTGGCTGCCCGGCGGCCGTCAAGTTGGAGATGGCGAGGGTATGGAGCGTCGTAGACGTGGGTTGAGATGCGTCTGAAAGCTGGGGAGCTTTTCCGCAGAATTAAAAAAATGGCGGCACACACAGTGGCGACAACGGTGACGACGATTGCAGAGCAATTTCACTGTTCGTCACATGCGGCAACCATAGGCTTGCGAGAGCGCAGGCGCAAATGTAGGGCGGCAGGAACAAAGCGCTCCACGGATGGTAGGCAGGCTACAGGGTCTAACCAAATGCACCTCGCCAGGGTAGCGACGGCTGAACGGTCTGACAGGATGCTAGTTGTACTGGCGTGACCTTTTTGTCCCACTTCTCCTCTTTGAACCCTGGGACTGGAGAGCTGTAGTTTTCTTTCATCACCTTCTATTTCTGCCACCAGAGGATCAAAATGCCGACCTCTTGCCGACTCGTCATGAATGTGACAGCATCATAGGCAGGCACCATCCATGTCGTATTTACCTAGAAACCCCGCAGTTGTCTTGCCATTCACGGGTAAGCTTCGTTGTTTGTCGCGCCGTTTACGCCGTAACTCGAGAGGAATTTGCGGTGTTGTAAGATGGCGGATTTTAGTTGCATTCTGCTAGACTACAGTCCCAGCTTACGGCTGCTGGATGATAGGCTCAGCCAGCTGCGCTTTTTGGAGGCTTTTGGCAAGGCTTGAGAACCTGAAAATGAGATGTGTCGTTCCTTCCCCTTTCACTCCCTGCAGAGCCAAGGCCGCAACGGTGCAGCTACAACGTACAAGCCGCTAGAACAATCGCAACTGCCAGATTATGCGCAGTAAGTCGTTCATTGCAGAAATTCCACTTTTATGTCACCACTGGGAAGTCTCGCTCGAGCCACGCGAGTGGGGATCTGGACTTACCGCGTCTAGTATTTGGATTATATAAGGCACACAAAAACGGAAACGGTACATTGCCAATGTACCTTTAACCCCTGGACGCATCAATGCCAGCTGGTGTCTTGGTGTCTCATGCTTTGAAATCCAGTAGGGACGGTCACCAACACTGTCAGAAAGAGGGTTCTTGACATCCAAGACGCGATACTTCCTATCCCCTTCACGACTAAATCTGCATCGTCGACCATTCTATAACGCGTTCGATTGACAGTCTTGTCCCTACATTTTCATTCTATTGCTAGCGACTGCTCCAACTGCAATGAGGCTCCCACTGTGGCTGTCGGCCGTGCCGGCACTGCTGGCCGCCTTTGCAGCATCGCCTGTCGCTGCCGAGCACACCAGCAACTGGGCGGTGCTCGTGTGCACGTCCCGCTTCTGGTTCAACTACCGACACCTCGCCAATGTGCTCTCCGTCTACCGAACTGTCAAGCGGCTGGGCATTCCCGACTCGCAGATCATCCTGATGTTGCCCGACGACATGGCTTGCAACCCGCGCAACGCTTTCCCAGGCACCGTCTACTCCAATGCCGACCGCGCCGTCGACCTGTATGGCGACAACATCGAGGTCGACTACCGCGGCTATGAGGTCACGGTCCAGAACTTCATCCGCCTGCTGACCGACCGAGTTGGCGACGAGATGCCCCGCAGCAAGCGGCTGCTGACCGACGACCGCAGCAACGTGCTTGTGTACATGACAGGCCATGGCGGCAACGAGTTTCTCAAGTTCCAGGACGCCGAAGAGATTGGCGCGCTCGACCTGGCCGACGCCTTTGAGCAGATGTGGGAGAAAAAGCGCTACCACGAGATCCTCTTTATGATCGACACGTGCCAGGCGAACACCATGTACAGCCGTCTGTACTCGCCCAACATTATCGCCACCGGCTCCTCGGAGCTCGACCAGTCCTCCTACTCCCACCACGCCGACAACGACGTCGGCGTCGCCGTCATCGACCGGTACACCTACTACAACCTCGAGTTCCTCGAGAACGAGGTGCGCGATCTCGGCAGCAAGAAGACCGTCGGCGACCTGTTTGACTCGTACGACTACGAGAAGATCCACTCGCACGCCGGTGTACGCTATGACCTGTTCCGCGGCGGCGCTCCCGAAGCGCGCAGCCGGCTGGTCACTGACTTCTTCGGAAATGTCCAGAACGTCGAGGTGGATGGCGGTGTTGCAGGCAGCGGAAGCGACGGCAGAAACTCGACACTCGACGAGGACCTCCTGGCCCTGAGCAAGACGATCTCCGAGCTCCAGAAGCGGGCCAAGGAAGAGGAGGAGGAGAGCGAGGCGAAGGCAGCAGCAGCCAAGGCCGCACAAGGGAACGCATCGTCTGAAAAGCAGCAGACCGCTGGCCGTGGGCCTGTCGTCAACCACAAGATCCAGTCGGCGAAACCACTCACCGACGACAACTGGTGGACTAAGAAGGTTGTCGGCGCGACGACATTGGCAGGATGTGCATTGCTCTGGGGCCTAAGCTCGTTCCTAGAGGCGTGATGTCTTTCTTGGTTTCTTTTGTAACTGTATTACCTTCAACTTTGTTTTATTTAAACTTGTATAGAGCCCCGTTTTCTTGAAGCGTTTCCTTTTTCCATTTACATTATATTTAACGATGATTCTTTGAACTGGCTCAAGTGCAACCCATGATTTCCGGTTACTTGGCTGTATATTAAAGAGTAACTCTCACATGCTTACTGACGACGTAGAACCGAACTCCCACGTCATTTGCTTTAATCCGTTTTGTGAGAAAGTGCGCTATATAAGTCGCTTCCTACTTTTCTCTTGACTTTCGTGTGTCTAGAATTGTGGGAAGGTGCAAACGAGGTTGATCAACTACATCGGAGCGTTTGGTGCAGACATTGAAAGTCTCGCCAAAACAAAACAAGCCCCACTTTAATCCAGTTTCCATCTTCAAAACTTACATCGCGTTGTTCAACAACAAAACACAAGTTATCGCACTGTGGATCATTAACGGACTGATTTGTGCGAACTAAGTACGAATAAGTGTCATAATCATCGTCGAGATGAGTGAAGCTATTGAAGACCTCGCCGGTCCCTCGACAAGGGTAAGAACACAAGACCTCTCCAGTTGAGAAACTCCGCTTGTTCGACTAACGCAGCCTGTTCCATCACCACCAGCACCGCCCTCGCCCTTTGGATCTGGTGCCAATCGACCTAGATGCGGTTCCGTTTGCTTCAAACGCGCTAGATTGGTCAGCGGACGGTGTTCTCGCAGCTGCTACTACTGATTCGGTGCACATTTTGACGCCACAGTTCATAACTGCGAGCGGCAGCCCCATGCCGATATATGATGGTTTAGCCAGCGAAGGCAACAGTGACCAGGATGACGACACGCACGATCAGGGTGATAGCCAGTTTGCAACGGAGACGGGGGCGCGGAAGCAGTTTGGCGGTTCCGGCCGGCGCATCTTGGTCGGATATCCACGTCTCGACCACACCATCAACCAGCCGCTGTTTCAAGAATGGGCAGCACATCATCCCGGCGATGACCAAGGCCAATGGCAGGCAGACGCCCCGAAGATTAGTGCCGGCTCTGGTTCCATCAGTGGCAGTGGCAGCACGATGAATTCTGTGGTCAGCATTGCGTGGTCTCCGAGTGGTGTTGGCTACAACGAACGCTGCGTGTTGGGCGTATTGACTGCGTCGGGGATGCTGATCATATACGGCGACCCCCTCGATGGCGGAGAAAAGGACGATGCCTCGACGAGCAGCGCGGGCAGAGAGTGCCAGGCAACCGCAACAGCTACGACACGTCCCGGTGGGAGGTGCTGTGGGCGGTGGGCGAACGCACGGCAGTTCCTGGCCAGAAAAAACCAGGAGAGTGCATCACGTCCTTTGCCTGGACCAATGCCTGCGACGCAATTGTGGAAAAGACACCGACGCTCGCGGCTGCATATCACCGAGCAGAGACGAAGGCACTCCTGGTGTACCAGACGGACAAGAGAGACATTGTGGTGCTGGATGTCAGCCATTCCCGCTACATTGATGGCAGGGTGAAATGGAAAGTTGCCGAGATGGAGCGCATAAAAGCAGCCGCGGGGGCGCACTTGACAGGGCAGTGGACGAGACCAGGCGCACCTTCGGTGACAGACTTCAACTTTGTTCCACATTCTACACCATTCGGTCTCCACTGCAGTCCGTGGATGGTTGAAAAGGTACCGCTGGGGCCTGATCTCCAACCCGAGAGTCTCCTGACCTGCATCATCGGGTACACTGCATTGCACTATGTCGGATTCCGGCGACTGTCGCTTGTGTTGCGCCCAGACGTGTCCAGTGGGAGACGGACTATTTTCATTGACACCAATGATATCTCGGGTTTCTGCGCCTTTATGGGCGCAAATGCCGTCCTCCGGTTCGAAGATTGCCTCTGGCGTGTGGACGATGACTTGCAAACGGGCGTTCCTAAGAAGAGGTCCCAGTGCAGAGGTGTCGTCGCAACACCCATGACTATCAAGGCGTTCGAGTTCGAGTTTACAGCATATGATCCGAACCTCGTAGCGCAGGCAACTGGTGCACCAGACGCGCATATTGTTTTCACAGAAGGCATATGTGCAGCAACTGAACCCAGCCAAGCAGAGTGGCACACAAACCCCATCAGCGGTTAGTTTTGCTGACACAATGTACTCCTCGATTATCTCCTTGTTTTACTAATACTGCCATCTACATTGACTACTAGGCCTCATTGTGCACCCCCCAGATCCGACAAACCACGGGAGCATGCCTATGTATAGCTTTGTGCGCAAAGATGCAACTTTTACAACGTACGAATGGCATGGCACAACGCTTTCCGAACACCACGAACCTCCCGAATGGTTCGAGATTATACAGAAGAAAAGCAAAGGCCTCCAGCACGAAAGTGTCGCCGACTCGGAACAAGATACGATGCCCCAAAATTCGGAGATAATTGCTCAAAGCTCACGGAATCGGTACCAGGTGGGCATTTGGGGGTTGGCGCAAGCACCCGGCGGCCTGCCAGGGGCGAAAGGCACTACTGCTGTCCTGATCACGGAACATTTGATCGGCAGCAGCCGTACTGGCAGAAGCCGAGGCGATAGTCATATCCTCTTTGGGGCGCAGAAGAAACAGCCACACCAGGGCTCGTCTGCCACGGAACCCGACGATTCGTTTGTTAACAGATGCGACCGTCCTGCTACGACCACCGAGGCTACCATGTGGACCTACATGTACGGAGGCGGACCAGAGGTAGTGCCGAGAGCATCATTTGCTACACGGGAGGGCGTTGAATTGAACCAAAAATGCAGCATTTGCGACGCGGCGATTAACGAACGGAATGAAACGTCGACATGCGCAAATGGCCACTCTTTTGACAGGTGTACGAGCACGGGGCTGGCCATCCAGAAGCCTAATGTGTCAAGGGTGTGTGGTGTATGCGGACGCAAGACTTTGGTCCCAAGTGCGCTGGAAGAGATTTTGGAACTCTCGGGATCCGACCAGACAAACAAGGAAGCATTGGAAACATCGTTACAGGATACGGTATGTGGCTTCTGCGGAGGCAAGTTTTTCGGAAGATGAAATCACGGACTGGAGCGGGCAATTATTTTTCTTTTTCTTTTTCTTTTTCTTTTTCTTTTTCTTTTTCTTTTTCTTTTTCTTTTTCTTTTTGTGTTCAGGTGTCATGTTTTCTATTATCATGGGAGAGTTGGGATGTATCCTCTTATTGCTTCTCTTTCTTCTACTGGCTGAACTGTAATTCATAATGACACAGGTAACGTTCCCTTATAAAAGTAGTGTATATGTCGTACAATAGGTGGCCTTTCCCGATATAAACTCTAGAAAAGATAGTAAGAACAGAGACAAGTGAACCAAAATGAACAATATAAAGTACACCCAAATGAGACCTCTAAACAAACCAGCAAACAAATGGGAAAATGAACTTATGGGAATAACATACGCGCTTTTGCCGCCAGTCTTTGACTTTTACAACCACCGTCGTCTTGCACCTAGTTGAACATCTTGTTCATGGCCTGGTGGGCCAGCTCGACGCCGAGGAAGGTGGCGGCGTTGGCGGGCACGGCACGCGCCAGCGCAGGGGCGAGACCAGGGAAGAAGGCCTTGAAGCCGCCCTTGCCATACAACTCGCGCACGACGGAGCCAATGGTGAGGCCAGGCACCGAGCTCGTCTGCAGACGGCTCTTGACGGTGTCGACGGGGAAGACGGGGATCCACATGGCCACACCGGCACCGGCACCGGCCACGGTAATGGCTGTCAGACTCAGCTGGCCGTTGGCCTTGCCGGTAACCGGGTCCTTGGGCGTCAGGGACTGCTTGATGTACTCGTAGGCGGCAAAGTAGGCAGCAGAACCGGGGCCGTCGCGGGCGAGGGTGGCGACGCTGCCACGGAAGACGGAGCGGACGCCGCCCTCCTTGTAGAGGTGGCGGACGACGTCAATGGCGCCGTTGTACTGGGGCTTCTCGCCGGGCTTGAGGACCTTCTGGCCCTGGACCTGCAGGATGACTTTGACGCGCTCAAAGGGGGCGGTGATGGCGGTCATGGGTATGGCGGACAGGAAACCAGCGGTGGAAATCTGGCCAATGGTGAGGGAGCCGTCGGGATTGGGGGTAGTGAAGCTGCGGACGATCTGCTTGCCGACATCGTAACCCCAGAAGGAGACGGCGACTGAGAGAGTTAGCCAAGATCTTTGGACAGAGCACAAACGAAGCGAGCGAAGCGAGGAGAAACCCCCAGAGAAGACGAAAAACTTACACATGGGAGTGACACCAACGAGCGGTGCGGTGACACCAGCGTACATGCCGCGACGCAGACCGTCCTTGGCAACGGTCTTGCGCACAACGTCAATGGCAGACGAGTACACGCCCTTCTCGGCGGTCTGCAGGCGCACCTTGACCAGGTCAAAGGGGTGGCCGACCAGGACGGCGCAGATGCCACCGAAACCACCAGCCGCAAACGAGCGCGCCTGGGCGGCGAGGCCCGATGTAGCCGCCCCCGGTGACGGCAGACTGACGGTGTCGTCGGCCTTCTTGGCCAGGTCAATGGCCTCCGCCTTGAGCTCCTTGTACTCGGCCTTGGCGGCCGCCGCGGCCTCCGCGATCTTGGATGCTGCGGCGCCGTGGGTCAGCTCCGACACCTCGGCCTCGACCTTCTTGGCCAGACCAATGGCATCTGCCTTGAGCCCCTTGTACTCGGCCTGTGCGGCCTCGGTGACCTCGGCGATCTTGTTTGCTGCTGCGCCGTGCGACAGATCGGACACCTCCGCCTCCACCTTCTTGATCTCGGTCTTGGCCTTCTCAGCAAGCTGGGAGATTGTCGATGTCTGGGGAGCGGGTGCGGGCGTAGGTGGTGCGGGCGCTGCCGGTGGCTCAGCGGGCGCGACCGGGACAGGCGCTGGTGCGCTGTTGTCGGATTTGGACATGGTGGCTGGGTGGTGTGGAGGAGGAGGAGAAGAAAGCGGAAAGGAGGAGAAGGAAGAAGCGCTTTAAACGACGTTTGTCGATTTGTGCCTCAATTGACCTGTGTCGTCTAATTGGGAAGGAAAGAAGTTAGAAAAATGTAAAGTTCGGGTTAGGAAGCGGCGACGGGGCAAAGGTCTGGCACTTTCACGTGTCGGAAGTGCAAAGCAAAAATTAGACTAGTGGAAGGTGCGATTGGCAGCTTTTTTTGTGGTTGCTAACACACGCCTAAAGATGGGTAAACTAGGGGCAAATGGAAAATACACGGAGGAATCCATACAAGGCAAGCGACCACGGAAGCGTACTGAGTAAACGCACCGATTCAAAGATACGGTTGTCCGAGTTCTCGTCGTTTTGATCGTCGCCGTGGTATTGCGTTGTTTCTATTCGATCCGCTGGTCCGTTGCCGTTCGTGTGTGCCGTGTGCGTGGGGAAGGAAGTAACGTGGGAGGGCGCAGTTGAAGGAAAGAGCTGTCGTCTGATGTCGTCGAATACGTATCGGGGAGGAAGGAGCAAGTTGAACGAGAAAGATTAAAATAAATAGATATGCAAAACAGAGCGAGCTTCTTATGCGAGTTTCGCAAACGGGGTACTGGTTTGCATTTGTATTTTGGCTTCGACATTCGTCTCACTTTTCCGTTTCCCCAAGTTGGCATTTTTACTCGGTGTAGTAATAACACTGCTGTCAATGGGACCCAATAAGCGACCGCTTTTATTGTGCCTCGGTCGTTCGGCATATTTCGCTCCCCAGAAAAAAGTGCAAGTAGCGTACCCAAACCAGCCATTGCCCCTCTACGCCCGCCAAAACCATCCACAGACTCCATGCCCAAACCCCACGTAACCCGCTTCGTCCGCCACCAGCTCGGCCTCCAAATTTTGCGGGGCATTTTCCTAGGCATTTGATGCGACAAAAACCTATGCGACAAGTGAACAGCCACCAGGGCTCTTCCACCGAGTCTGGTTTCTGGATCCCGCACGATCGGGCGGCGCTATTTCCATTCTGTGTCGTCGGGTTGCTGAAGAAAAATAAATAAATCAATTTAAAAATTAGCAGGCACACGGCCGCCGAAAACTACAGGATGAGACTCATGGCTTTGCCTCGGCAGAGTGGATCCGGGCCATCAGAGCCACAACTTACAGAGACTCTACGTGCAAAGTGCTGCACATTCACTTGACAACTCCGGTGAGCAAGACAAAGACACACTGCATGGTTTCGCTCCAATGGCCTACCAAACCAAGGCCACAGCGCATAAAGGTCGCGGGTATATGGGAAAATAGCCTTGGCTAAAATGCAGGTACAGAAGCACGACAAAAGCTGGACAACGCGAGCCGTTTATACACGCTACGTATGAGTACAGATCAGATCGAGTACAAGTACGACCGACGTCCCCGATGCGACGAAAAAAGTCAAATCCCAGCAAAATCAGCAAACAAGACGCCTTACACATGCAAATCCCATGACAAAAAAACTAAATGCCCGAAGAATCGTTTCCGCTCTCAGAAGTTGATGCTGGGCTTGGCTGCATGGCCCAAGGCAATCGATGCCCGGTTCGAGCCACACCAGCAGTTGCCATCTCCGTCTCGCTCAACCTGCACCACGACGTCGATGCCCTTCTCCAGCATATAGCTGCGCACGCGGTCACGCACGTCCTCCATGTCGGCGCCACGCACCGCCACGACATGCATAACACCGAGCAGCCTGTCCTCTGTTCCCGAGCGGTCGTCAATCCAGAACTTGGGCGCCGAGTAGCTGGCGACGCCACGCAGGCCCGGCACGCCCGCCAGCGTTTCTCGGAGTGTGTACTCAACAGCATCCGGAATGGTCAGCAGCAGGCGGCGGGCCGACGACGTGACGAGCGGCACGGCTGAGCCGAGGATAAGAACAGCGATGAGGAACGAGGCCAAGGGATCCCAGCCAGACCAAGACCAGAAATGTGTCAAGACTGTGGACACAATCACGGCAGCACTGCCGAGTGTGTCTGCCAGGACGTGAAGGTAAATTCCGTACATGTTCTCATTGTCGTGGCTGTGACCATGACCATGACCATGGCTGTGATTGTGGCCGTGGCCGTGGCCGTGGGAAGCGCCATGTGAGTGACCGTGACTGTGACCATGGCTATGGCCGTGGTTGTGACCGGCATGGTCGTGGGAGCTGTCGGTCTTTTTGGACAGGCTCGAAAAGTCGTCTGCGTGCTCGCCGTGGCCGTGGCCATGGCCGTGTCCGTGGTGGTGGTGGTGCCCAAAGGAGAACATGCCGACAAGGTTCACCAGAAGACCCAGCGTGCTGACGACGAAGAGCTCCCACAAACGCGTCGTCTCCCGCCCGCCCATAAGCCTTTCGACGGCCTCGACCATGATTTCGACGCTGATCAGTCTGGAAGGGAAGGTCTGTTAGCATCTGATTTGGCTGCAATATAGGGTCGACCTTTCCGCGCGCCGACTTACATCAAGAAGATGCCATTGGCGAACCCACTCAGGGTCTCAATCTTGCCAAAGCCATAAGGAAACCGCTCGCTCGGCGGCCACTTGCTAGCCACTGCCGCGAACAGGCCTACGGCCAGTGCCACGCAGTCAAAGAACATGTGGATGCTGTCGCTCAAAAGGCCGAGGGAGTCGGTCACGTAGCCGTAGAATGCTTGAACCGTCATGAACGCAAAATTCAACCTGTACGAACAAACACGCGTTAGTGAGAAGCTGGGCGGCAACGCTTCTGGATATGTGGTATGGGACGGAACGAACGTCATAAAGTAAAAGATTCGCCGCGAATCCTTCTCTTTCATAACAGCATGCACCACCGGGTAGCGCGCCGTGTACTGCATGGTAAACTCGGTGAACCGCGAGAGCGAGCCTGGCGCCGCGACCTGGTCAAAGGTAACGGACGACGTCTCGGGCGCCGCATAAGAGGACTTTTCAACCGTGGGCCGAGATGGTGTGTACGGGCCAGCACCGGCCGGTAGAGATTCGGACGCATGGTTGTGAGAATGGGTATGGTCGTGGTCGTGGTCGTGGTCGTAGTCATGGTCATGGTCATGACTGTGGTCGTGATCTTGGCCGTGGGAGTGAGACGCGGTCTGCGTCTGGTTCTGGTCGAAACTGAAGCTGTG